AAGTTGACCCTGACAAGCTGGTTCCCTGAAGCACTCAATTGGCAATCCCCTTGTATTCCTGATGCCTCTCTCGCTGCCATCCTGCTCATCACTTAGCCCCTTCGCTCTTTTGGTTGCCTCACCGCCGGTAGGTATAGAGGCATCTCTTATTCTCCTTCTTGCCTATAAAACCCCATTTCGGGGAGTTCCTAGGGCTGGCCGAATTTCACCGTGAGTGGGGGGAGGTGCTGCCGGATTTTTTTTGGTTTGCTTGAGCTCCTTGTTTGCTCGACATTTTGGCTGGGGTTTCTCGGCCTACCTGCTGATTTACTCGGTACTCTCGCTTAGTTATTTGTTTCACCACTGAGGTATGAACTCTTTGTTTCATGTCTTGGCATGCTTGTTTGTTGGAAGTTCTTTTTGTGGCAAGGTTTAACCAGCCAGCCTATTAACATCTCTTTTCCCTCCCTTATTGTTACAAGCTCTACAATCTCTCGTTTTATTGAAAATGACATCAAATACATATGGTTTTAGTATTGGATTTTAGGTGGAAGTTTTGAAATAATTTTAGCTTCTCTTGTAAGCATGTTGGGATATGTATTATGAAGCTTTTCATCTATTTTTTATTTAACATGAGATGGGTTTTCTTTTTGCTTCTCTTTCATGCATGTTGGAGTTTCGGCTTTGGCATATTATGACTTGCTCTCACTTAAAATGAAGGCTGGGGAGTGTATTTTGTTGTTTTATGCATGTTTGGGGGCTCGGTTTTGGCTTCCTGTGGCTTTACCTGGCTTGAAATATATGTTATAAGAGAACTTATTTAATTTGGAAAGTCTTGTATCTTGCTTTGAGAGTTTGGCTTAATTCCTCATGAGGCATCTCCCATGTTCATATATTTGTGGGACTAATTTCATGCTTAGAATGTTTAGACATGCAGGTTGTTCCTTGGGCTTAAAATGGCTAGATCTTTAATGTTGTATGGCTCGGTTTTAGCCCCTGTCGGGCTCGGTTTTGTCTTTTGGCTTGATTGGAGCCACAGCTTTGGGTTTGAAATGGTTGAATCTTTAATGCTTTATGGGAGTCTGGATTTTAATTTTGTTGGACTGGATTTTAGGCCTTGAATGGCTAGGCTTCAAACTTTTGTTGGTGCTCGGTTTTCATGGCAGAAGTCTGAGGTGTTGACCTTTTGTTAAGGTGTTGAAGTTTTCTTCGTTAGCTTTAAGAAGCTCACTTTGGGCTTTTACTGATTTTCGATCTGTTTAGAGGTGGTTGAGATTTTAATTTCTATTAAAACTTGAATTTGTATCAATGTTTGAACTGTGTTTTGGCCTTGCTGGGCTCGGTTTGGCTCTAAAGTGGGGCTTGGTTTGTTTCGTTTAGCCTTGCTGAACTCGGTTTGGCTCTAAAGTGGGGGTTGTGTTTTAGCCTTGCTGGGCTCGGTTTGGCTCTAGTTGAGGGGCTTGGTTTGCTTTGTTTGGCACTTACCCGAGGGATGGTTTGAAGGTGGTTTGGCTGGCTTTGGTTCCTACCCCTACCCATGAGACCCATTGGAATTTCTTGAGTTTAATTTATTCTTTCTTGTTAAGTTTGAATCATTTGAATGATTGTAGATGGATCAACTTGTTATTGGCTTGATTGGAGCCACGGCTTTGGGTCTGAAATGATTGAATCTTTAACGCTTTATGGGAGTCCGGATTTTAATTTTGTTGGACTCGGTTTTAGGCCTTGAATGGCTAGGCTTCAGACTTTTGTTGGTGCTCGGTTTTCATGGCAGAAGTCTGAGGTGTTGACCTTTTGTTAAGGTGTTGAAGTTTTCTTCGTTAGCTTTAAGAAGCTCACTTTGGGCTTTTACTGATTTTCGATCTGTTTAGAGGTGGTTGAGATTTTAATTTCTATTAAAACTTGAATTTGTATCAATGTTTGGGCTGTGTTTTGGCCTTGCTGGGCTCGGTTTGGCTCTAAAGTGGGGCTTGGTTTGTTTCGTTTAGCCTTGCTGA